CAAAGTTAGGAACAAGCCAAAAGCTTCAGAATGCCCAACAAATGTGTGTGAGGAGGAAATCATTTCTGACGTAGCAGCAAACAGACCTTGGTTTCAGTTCCATGAGCTTTGACTTGTGTGTCAGAGCAAGTGCTGTATTAAGACATAAGATGACTACAGCAGCTCCAGCACAAGAGGTGAATGGAATGCAGCCAGGATGTGTGAAGCTGACAGGTAAGAGATGACAGGCAATTGGTGTGTAGGGACAGGTGACAGCTACACAGCAGAGTGTGTAGTGACAGTCAGAGGTATGCTGGAAAGATATGAAAAGACAGCAGACAGGTATCTGGGGAAAATGAGAGGCATCATGAATAGGTATGTGACAACAGAAGACAAGTCTGTAGGGACGGGTATGTGAGGATAAATGAGAACCATGAAATAATAGGTATGCAGTGATGGCTAAGAGATTGGTGAGAAGAGGGGAAAGGTATCCATGGACAAGAGGTATGCAGGGACAGCTTTGTGAGGATATTGAACGTGTGTGCAGAGATAAAATGAGAAGCAATAAGTACATAGGGACAGGTATGGGGAATGTGAGGGTAGGTTTATAGGGACAAGTGAGAGGCCTACAGGGAGAGGAGACAGATATGCACTGACAGGTGAGAGGCACTCGGGGACTGGCATGAGGTATGCTTTGATATTGCTCTGTATGCTGTAAACATTTCAGTTTTGTTTCTATATCAATGAACATTCAGTTCAGTTTGATATATGTGCTGCTACAGGTCGTTGGAAGCACAGCAGAACTTTACATTTCCCATTACTCGCCAATCTTACCTATGCCGCAAAGAAACGCTAACAGCTCATTTTATATCACTTATGTGTTATCCTAGTCTAACGTTTACAGTCTAAATCACAGTAAAGATCCTCTACTGGAAAACATTAAATTTATATATAAAGCACATACACATTCGCTCATACATGCACTCACTCACACATATATTCCTTCAATACTCAGGCCTAGTTTATACCTAAAACTTAGGTCGATCTAGCCACATTGCTCAGGGCTTGTGAAAATTTTTGCACCCATAATTAGGGTGACCTACCCCTGTACAGATGCAGTCAAAGGAAGGATTCTTTCATCAGCCTAGCTTCCTGCCTCTCAGGAAAAACCCATTCTGGTGATGTAGCGCCATAGTGTAGATGCTTCCTACCGTGCACAGCTGCAGTGCCATAGACTAGGCTGTAATGTAGACATACCCCAAGATGATCAAGACCTGGCCCTTCATACTTCCCAGTGTGGAAGGCATGGACTCATCAGTGCACTCATGTTTACATTTAAAGGGACATAGACAGCTTCAAATCTGGTTAAGCGGGGGAAAAGGTTAAAAGCAGTTTCAATGTCTACCCCGGCCTCTGTGTCCCTCTGAAATTTGGTAACTTTAAAATAGCATTTTCCTATTTTTAAAAGTATTTGCTCTTCCCTCGTCAGAGATCTTCACAAATTGACAAGCTGTTCAGGGGAAATATGCAAAGTGTTGTCAAATGCAGAGGTAGAAAGAAACAATTTTTTCTCCCACCCCTTTCGATTATAGCACCCTTCGTTATAACAATACTGGGTCCAGAATTTTCAGAGGGAAGTGTGATAAGTTGTTGATGCCCCTTTAACATAAAATAAGAGTTAAAGCAAAGGCAGGGTATTTATCTTTGAGGATTTATCCTTCTAGACTAGCGTAGTGTTTGCAATGGCTGATGCTAAATCACTATTTTCTTCACGAGCTCCTGATTTTAAAGGAGGCGATTACATAACTTTCCTATTTTCATTCAATTCAGGCTGTCATTTGGCATAAAAAACAGCAAATTATGCTAATTTCTTGTGTTTAAAAAAAAAAGGCTTTAAATCATTAGGTTGTTTTCTATCTGGCCTTACTGCCATGAATAGTAGTAGAGCTCAAGACAGCAATGTTGGTGAGAACCACACTGAGCATGCATCAGGAAGTCCTGCAGATATTTTAGCATGGGGATGGGCACTGATCTGGCCAGCTGCCCAGTCTGTTCCAAAACCTGCAATAGTGTCAAATTTTCCATAGCTTCACCCCAATCATCTTGTCTGGATGAAGCGATAGAAGCAAAGGAGTGGGAGCATACAGCTTACATCAGGTAAAATCACTCAGCCTGGGGAGGTCTTTGTAAATGGACAGTCAACTGTCTCACCCCCTCTAGTTGGTGGGAGAAACCTCCCTTCTCCTCCCCATCCCATATACTTTCCATCCAGCCCTCAGCTGTCCAGCTATACTTGCCCTTCATTCCCAGTCATGCAGAAACTCTCACTTCACTGCTTTTTTTATGCCAACTGGCTGACTCGACCTGTGCAATATTTTCTCACAATACTTCTATAGCAGGCTGAGCTCTCTGCTGAATAGGTTGGCCTCCCAAAGGGCTGGGAAGTACTAGCAGATACTGAGGATACCATCTGCAGAAGTATCCCCGGAGTGTTTAATGTGCTGTGGATGGAGCCCTTTTGGGTGCCTTATAAACAAGAAGTAAAAATGACCAACTTTCTTCTCTTTAAAAAGCACTGACTACGCATCCCCCACTAGCACTTTCACTTACATTCTGGTCTAGATGATACTTAATCCTGCTTCAGTGCAGGGGACTGGACTAGATTTATTAAGGTTCCTTCCAGTCCTACATTCTGTTTCAATGATTCTTCACTTGGAAAAAAGGACAGAGTTGTGTATATATGCACACTTTGCATTCACAGCCACAATATGTGGATTAATATAAAAGATAAGATATACATAGCCCTCCCCTGCCTTCACAATCTCAGCACTTTCAGTGTGATCACTTATGGTATCTGTCCCAGACCATAGTGTCATAAAAGACAGCTAAGACCTTTCTCACCAGTACCTGAAAGGCACCATATAGGTGTGCCTATCCTGTCAGATTGAGGAGTGTGCTCACCAGTTCAAAAGCTGTAGAATCACTGGTTTCATGCACCAGTTCACGTTCATGCAAGGAGTCACCTAGACACTTCTGCATTAAGGAGCAAATTCTGTGCATCCAGCTCCCATTGACTGCAACTTAACACAACAGGAGCTCCCCACATCTAAAGACAGCATAGCCCTAAATGAGGGTGCCACAGTTTGTGTCACAGGGAGAAGAGTTCACCGCAATTCCTCAGTAGCTCTCTCTTGGTGTCTGCCTCCAATTGCACAGAAAACACATTCAGAATGTTCCATGAACCCTGTGGAGTGATGTGAGTAAATATTTTTCCCCAGCGTCTCTCAGTGATCTCCCCCACCGTCCCCCCTTGCACTTTTATCTTACATCTGCAGCACAATGGGGATGTATATGTGGTTTAATTCTGTTTAGTAGGACAAAAATATAGCCCAGGAATAATCAAAGAATAATTTCAGTCTTTGATTCCTTCTAGTGCCTTGCACAAGGTTCCTGAGATAGTTACCTCTGCAATCTTGTTTGCTAGGTTGACAAAATGTATAGACTAAGGGAATTCATGCTAGATTCTAGAGCAGTGGTTCTTAACCTTTACTGCAGCCTGCACCCTTTTGGTTCTCAAAATACGTTCTTGCATCCCTTATCAAAATTCATTGAAGTAGGTCAGTTCTTTAAACCTAGATATATTTTTATTTGTATATTACAGTAATCGTTAAAATGTATAATATTAATAAATACATAGGTTTGATAAAATATAGTTGTACTTACGTGCCTGTGACTAATTTGTGTTTTCGATGATTTACCTTCTAAAAAAATCTGGCATGTCTCTCACCCCCAGAAAGGGCATCTCGCACCTCCAGGGGGTGCGTGCACCCCAGGTTAAGAACCACTGTTCTAGAGGTACTTTTAAAGAAAATAGATAGAGGGACTGTACTATAGGGCCTGCCTTTGGGTGCAGATGTAACCCACACACCTCCTGGGTGTGGTGTTGTGTTCCATCTAGTGGCACCTAGTGAGACCACTAGGGAGAGAGAGAGATAAAATGAGCCTGCTCTATAGGCTTAGCTAACAGCTTTTAGCTCATGTGGTAGAGGCTCATGCACTAAGCTCCAGAGGCCCCAGCTTTGATCCCACCCGCTGACAACCGGGATCTGTCAGCATTACACAGGCTCAGTTCCACACACCTTGCAAACCTGTGTTCCAGTCCCTGCCATTTATTTTACAATCCAGTTGTGAAGGACATCGGTAAACAATGGTTCTCAGATCATAGGTCTCAATGCCCTTTCTGATGGTCCCTCTAATAGAATGAAAATTGACCCATGAGAGGGTCTCTCTCTTACAAAGTGGTCTGCAAAATGAAAAGTAGAGAATCAGTTTTAGAATAACAGTGCTGTCAAATGCTGTAAGGTAATCTTTCCTTAGAAAACACATTTTCTCTATACAGCATATACCCTCTGGTGCCTAAGAACTCTGACCTGCTGCACATGACTCTGAAATGAGACAACCATGCTCCCTACCCTCATTGTGATTCCAGAACCACAAATACCCAGTCACCTGGAGCCCAAGTGTCACCACCATGCAAAACTTTGGTTACTGGTCAATGGCAATGGCATATGAGTGAACTCCTGTTCAGTAAAGCTAAGCCCCTCTGCACCTAACCATGCATCAGCTCTCTCTCTCTCCTCTCCCCTTCCCATTCAGCCCGAGTGTCAATTCCATCCAGTGCTCACATTATAGAGATAGGACTGGGAAGACATTTATTGAATAAAAACAGCAATGCACTAACAAAGCCATTCATCCTAACGAGAGAAACCTCATAATGACTACAGAACAGAGGCTATACATCCAGCAGCTTCCCCGGCACAGCATCCCTCCAAACAGAGCTTGAAAGCTGTGTCCTACCTAATGCATGGATGTGCAATACCTTTTGAGACCCATGCAGCTTTTCCCTACTTTGCTGTGTGTAGCTTTAGACTCCAGGCCATCCTGTTTACTCAATTTTGAATCAAATTTTTAATCCAAACTTTTTTGGATAGCAAACCCACAAACCACCCTAAACATAGAAATTGGAGCCTACTGTACATTTATTTATGCATAACTTGGTGGTTGTGTGACACAGTTGATGTCTGTGCATAATCTTTCCTTAAGCTATGCAACAAAAATATGGAAAATACAACAGCAAATAAGTGTCTTATATACTGCTTCAAAACTGGACTCATCCAGTGCATGACATGTTTCCACTGCCTTGTCTATTTTCACAGTAGGGACCACGTCTCCATATTTATCTGTACAGCACTGAACACACAGTTAGCAATCAATAAATAAAAGCAGTCTATGGACAATAAATACAAATAACTTCAGTATCAATGTTATCAGATGCTGCATGAGGTCAGGACAGAGGCTGTTTTTAAGTGTTGTGTGCGGTGTGCTACGTTGCACACAAATCCCTTTACTTTTACCTCTCCCAGTCATGCCCAATCATGCAATGCATGAAACGTGTGTTCTCACATAACAGGCAGCTCCTACGTTCCCCTTCCTTGTTAGGGATTAGCATGGAACATCACATGTTGCCTCCCAACACTACAAAGCTCTTCTGGGGCAAGAAGTATCTTTTTGTTATGGTTTTGGTATAGAGCCTAGCACAATGGGGCCCTGCAACGTGCCTGGGGCTCCTATCTGCTCCCACAAAACAAATCAATCAAATAATAATTATAATTTGTACTAGAACCATTTCTAGTAAGGGCTTTGGGTTTGGCCTCCTGGGGAGGAAACTTTGGCTCCTTGACAATGCATGTGAAAATAACATTCAGCTTCCCTCCCCTAAAGAGAAGGACTTTGGGTTGGGGGGCATCATCAGATAGGGAGGGGGTGCAGCAAGATCATGGCTGACATCACAGTGTGAGCAACAAAAATGGAAGAAAGAGCTGACTCAGTTGATCAGTTCTACCCGGGGAGACAGCTCAAGGCCTGTAGCTTTTGGAACCCCATGGTCTCTAGCTTGGAGTTCCAGCTGCCCACGCCCTCACATGATCGACAGCAGTGCTTTGGATTGTGCTCAGTTACATGACTGCCCTTAGTGTCCCCTCCAAATATGTGAGATAGGTGAGCGTGGGGAAGAGGTCTGGAGGGATGGAAGTTCATATTGGCATTATTTACGAACTAACCAGTGTAGTAAGTTTTGGGAAACCTGCTTTCTTGATAGATGACCCAGTGCACCACAGAGGACATATTTATGATCCTGAATAGGCCAGAATCTGCTAGGTGCTACCACTAGCCAAACACACACACAGACTCTACAAAGAGTCCTAGTACTGCGTTTGGGTCACACTCTGAAATGGGCTCCCCCTTTCTCTTCCCTTCCTCCTTTACCACCGCTTTTTTTAAACACCAATGAAGTTTCACATTTGGAAATGGTTTTGGCTGCCATGGGAAGCTTATGGTTTCTGAGGGTCCCATCCCTGCTCTAGCTGAGCCTCCTCTGGGTTTGGGTCAGCAGGTCTGTGTAAATTTTGGATCTCAGGAACCTGGGGTAAGAGTCTTTCTCCATGAGGCTGCGCACTTTCCCCTGGGCCTGGTCAAAGCAAGATAGTGAGGGCTCCTGCACATTATTTCTTGTCACCTCTCGTGTCTGGAAGTCTATGTTCACCTAGGGAAAGAGACAACAAGAAGAATTATATAGAGTAACTCTGCTTTATATAGTTAAGAGTGTATGTTTGTCACAGCCACGACTAATAACACAACAACATAACCTTTTGGGGTGGGAGAGGGAGGGATTCATAATAAGTCACTGCACAAATTTTCTAATTTAGGTGGCTTAAGTTAAGCACTTCAATCCATATTAATTTCAATATTAGCTGTGTGTGCTTAGCACCTCTGAAAACCAGACCATTTTTATGTAGGTGCCTAGGTGTGAATTTAGGTGCTTAACTTTAGGCACCTACTGCAAGTCTGAAAACGTTGACTCAGAGTCTTTGTCACCCCAGCTATCCCATCACTCATCAAGACTCCTATGAATTTTTACAAATTTGGCTCTCTATACATTTAGTGTGTAGAATAATGAATTGTTAGCAATTTTAAACTGTTACTAAAATCTTATTAAATAGCTTTAAGTTATTTTTTTTTTACAATAAACTGTTTGAATTTTCTCATAATTTCCCATGACAACTACTTACTAAAAAATATTGTGCCTCGACTTTTCCATTTTAAACCCCCTAAATGCATAATTTTAGCATTTTTGCTGTGACAAATCAATGAATTTTCCCAGATTTTTGCCCTGACAAACAGCCAGGCTTAACTGTGGTTGTCATGAGAAAGATGGCTGCAAAGCAATTCCTGTGTGAGAGAGTTTGCAATTATTAATCTTTTGAATAGGGAGGCTTCTGTGGTACACAAATATAGTGCAGTCAAGAAAGGAAACCTTTATCTGTGCCTCCCCTCAGATGGTTACAGCATTAGTTGGCTGTGCATTATGCTGGTGGGTCATTTAAAATTTTGATACACCAAAGGTCATGACTGTGCGATCTGATTTTAGGAAAGACCAAACCCTTTAGATATCAATCCCTTTAGGGATCGACACCTCCTAATCTAACCTAAACCCAAGTGTCTAATCCCAGCTGGAATGCATTCAGTGCCACAGGATGCTAGATCACCTCCCACTCCAGTTGACATAATCAGAAAGACTGCCATTGACTCCTGTGGGAATTCAATTTGGCCCTGTAGTCAGCCAAATCTCAGCTTGGGCTTGAGCCAAAGTACCTTTGAGTCTCTTGCCCCTGGGTCCCCACCAGGAGCCCCGACTCCTGGGCAATCTTATTGTTCCCAGCAGAAGCTCAGTTTACTCCCAGGGTCTTTTCAGCATCCAATTTATAGTCTCCTTGACTCTAGCCCCTGGGTGCACTTCCCAGGACTTATCACAGTTCATGGCCTTTTGCTTATACCAAGATTGTAGTGTCTATCTGCCTCAAATGGGGTGGGGCTTGAAGGAAAATGTTAGCAGCTGCCTAAGGCTCAATTTCCCTTGTTGCTGGAGCTCACTAGCATGCCCTAGAAGCTTCCTTGTTCCTGGAAAAACTCCCCCCTTGGCCAGGATCACCCTTTTAAGCCCCACTTCTACAGGCGTAGCATGTTCTGCTGGTGCACCTAATTGACAGTCCCTGATTGCAGGAATGCTCGTTAGCCTTTCCACCAGGGGGATGGGCATGTGCCCCATCAGAGGCCCCAGATTACCAATATTAGCAAGTCACAAGTTGTGGGTAAAGTCTGAGGTTTTCCCCGCTGGAAGCCCTCTTGGAAATCGGGTACACATTCACTAGAGGAATCTGTAAGCAGGCCCTCTCTGAATAAGCAATATGACATCACAATGCAGGATATAACATCATAAACTGTGACTATGTTAAAGGAGAATTCACAAGTCCAAACTCTAAATTGTGGCTACACTTTCTATTCAGCACAGTGTGCTATTGCTCGTAACTTTCAGCAATTATAACAATGCTGAATAATACAGATTCAGAGGGGTGTAGGGCCTAGATTGCCACATACTCCCTAACTCTTGGAGATTCAACAGGTTAGAGCAGTTGCTGGGAGTGTTGTTGAAGGCAGTTTTGGGGACCTATAAGGCAATAATTTTGATACTTGTGAAAGAATGAAGGAGTGATGTCTCTATCTGTTGATTTGCAGAGGTTCCCCACTGGACGCTTTGGGATGCAGGCTGCAGTAACTCAAATATCCAGACACACTGGCCAACAGTAGCCAGTGAAATCATTGATCGGCTCATTACCTCTGCAGTGGTCCCCTGAAGAGTACAAAATCCCAGCACTGGGGATATGAGTCACTGGTAATGGAGAGAGATGTGGCAAACATGATGTACCCAACCCTCCTTTCCTTCCCCTTGCCAAGTGAGTTTCCCTGCAATACCTGTCTCTCAGATTAATCCCACCAGAGTGTGTATGCCAACCAACCTCTCGAGGAGCTTGCACATCAATGAATTCTTCAAAGATCCTGTGGGCTTTGGATGCCAGTTTGGTTGTCGACCGGGTCTTTTTGAACTCCTCACAGGCCAGCCAGAACTCCAGATTCTCCTCGCTGAACTCTGTCTTCAGGAAGGCGCGGAATGCAGCCACCCCATCTACAAGGGGGAAACATTGGATTTATGGAAAAAGGGAAGCAACTTCAGACCAGGTAAGACCTCTTTACTGTATATCCCACTGTTCACTATTCCCAACAAATACAATCCCTATTTGTTTCAAAATCTCTGCCATTGGCACAAAGAGACTTAACTGTTGATCATGTGTTTTTTCTACAGCAAGCTCAATTACTGTCCTCCACAGGTTACACAGTTACATGAGGTTCCCATGTGGTTAAAGGAACCCCCTCCTGTGCTGTTTTTTAATCAGTATTTTGCTAGGAATGTAGGCAGAATTTCAAAGGGATTTCAGTGGGATTTGAGAGCCTAACTCCTATAGGGTACTTTGAAATTCCTAGGCTCAAGTTATACATTCTGCTTGCCATACAATTGTTAATGCCTCACTTTGTAAACTACAGTTGTCACTCGGTAAAAAGTTTATAAAATATATCATTTGTGAACTTGTCTCCTTTTACATCTAGGCTTTTCATTACTTTGATTTATTACCTTGACACGTTTTTAACTCTTATTTGTACATAGGAAGTATCTTAGAATTTCTAACCATAACAACTACAATAAAAAGAAAAAGGAAGGAACGCTGAGGGGTTACCACCTCTCTCTAGCTAGGTGGTCAAAGTGCTCTTATCTCTTTTAGTGTTTAGCAATTGTGAGACTTAGATAACGTTTCTGGCTAGCTCAGGTTACAAGTTATGATTATGAAAATTTGGCTAGGAAATTGGAGCGTTCTGATTTCTGTGCCTAGGTATATTTATAAAAAGGGGCACATGTAGACACAGCCACTGTATTTATTTTCTCTGCATGTGGGATCCAACCAATTCGGGTCTGGAACAAGCAGAATTGAAATCAATGAGCGCTCCACTCACTTATGGCAGAGCTGAATTTTACCCTTTCAGAACTTTCCTGTAAGGTAGGGCCATATAAGAATTTTTATGACAGGAATCCTTCTTGACCAACATTACCACATTCCAAGTTTGTGTCTAAAAACATTTGTGGGATGGGACAGGGAATGCAGTCAGTGAGGGGAAAGAAGTGGTCTTGGGGAAACTGACGGAAGGTCCCTCCTACTCTCCCTGCCCTGAGTTTGGGAGCTAAGCTCCCCTAGAGCTCCCCTTCCTCCTGCCTCTTCCTGGGCTGATGAAATAAGAACTTCTCAGGCACAATAATCTAAAGTGGGAGCAGCAGGAGGGGCTGGTGCTTGGCTGGGGATATGATGGGGTTCTAATCCTTCCTGCACCAGTACCAGACGGGAGCTTCCTTTCTGACTCTTTTCTTTCCCAGAAAGATCAATCCCCTGCCCTTCCTCCCCACTTCCAATGGGCAGAGATGAAAAGTGACAGTCTGCTGCCTCCAGCTCCCCCCCCCCCCCCCATGGCAGGGGAAAAAGAGAAACCCGGCCTTCCCTCCCCTAGCCAGAATCCAGGAGACACTGGGGTTGCCATCTCTGAGATGCAGAACCCCACCCCCACATCAGCCCGTAAGGGAGCCCTCCTGCTGTCCCCTACCAGAAGCCTCTGCCTCAACCACTCCACTCCTGGCAAGACTCGGGTCTCAGGTGTTTTTGTGACAACTTGCATTTGGCACGGGCAGAAGACAGGCTATTGGGCTAGATGGACCAATGGTCTGACCCAATATGGCCGTTCTTATGTTCTGTCCCCCTTCCTAGACCCCAGTGTTGGGAGGAGCCACTGCGGTTTCAGCAGCTTGAAGACGTGGCACACACCCAGATGGCAGCCGCTCTCCCAGCCACGTGGCATGCATCGTAGTTACAAAATCACTGTGTGGACATGCATGTGCACAGCTTTCAGGGAAGGTTGGTCCCAAGTGGGGGAAAAAAACCCCACACATTAAATCTTTTCACTGGCAAGGCAGTACAAAAACTGTCCAGGCTGGTTAAAAACCAGCCAGCTGACAACCATTGCCGCCACTGGGACACAGAATGGTTCCGTCAGCTCCCTCTCCCCTCTTGAATGTCTCATCTAAGTGCCTTACGCCTTCCAGTAACCTCGCATGCATTCCCCACAAGCAACTGAGAATGGTTTTATGAGAGCTGGGGTGAAAGTGCCTCTTCCTGCTTGCTTTTAAATAGCTAATGTGAGATTATGGACAGAAAGGGGACACAGGGATGAGATGCTCAGCTACAGCTGTATCACATCAACTCTTTGGAGTATCATTTTTTAGTCTTCTTACTGCCTAAAGAGAGGGGGAAATGTGGTCTCAGCAAGGTGCTGTGCCAGCTGCAAAACAAGGGCTTTTGTTGTGCTCACAGCAGTGCTGCTGAAACTGAATGTTGTGATTTGGATACAATGGACTCTACAGCTCCAGGTGCCTAAGGGAGACATTAGCCCCTTTCCAAGCCAACTGTGCAGGGACATGCCAGAGATATGGCCGGGGCAGGAGGTGTATCAGGAACGCACTGCACTCAGGCTGTTGTCAGCTGCTCGATGGCTTCATAACATGATGTTGTAGGCATCTTGAGATAGAGATGCTGCTGAGGCTGCTCTAGCTTACACCAATGCCTGCTCCACTCCCCGGCTGACCCCAAAATGCTGGAGGCAAGAAGGTGGCACACAACGTGTGCCCTCTTCAAAATCTAGTACCCAGTGTCTTTCCTGGGGAGGTAGGGTCTCAGTGGGAAGGTGAAAACTCAGGAACAGATTAGGGAATCTATTCGGCAGTATGGGATAGCAGAGAGTTTGGAGGAAACAGAAGTTTGAAGGGAAAAAAACAGCAGATCCTGGTGCCATAAGGCTCTTTGTATGTAGCTGGTTCCTGTAATGTTTGCCCTTAAACATTCCATAGTTGGTTAGTGGATACCTTGCTGAAGCTTTTTACGACGACGATAAAGAGCTTTGCAATATGCTTCTAGACACCCTGCCCCTCTTTTCTGGTCTTGATTCTCTCTCTGCTTTTTGACATCCTTAGCATTGACACAGGGGTCACTCTCCAAAAACAGAAGCCTTGCCAGGGGACGTGATGAACAGAGCATAATGTCTGGTAAAAGGAAAGGCTTTCTCATGATTGATGCAGCATGAAAGACCTTTGCTTCAACCCTGCTCCAGAGAGCTGCCTGGGGCAGCAGCTGGAACCAGAGGGTCTCTGCACAGTTCTCTCCCCTTGCTCTTGCTCTGACTTTAGTCAGTGGCATTTCATTTCTAAATAAATATAGAAAGGGGTTGGATATGAGTAGTGGACATTTTTCTCTTCCTGTTTGTACTCTGTCTCCTTCCCTTCTGTTTCCTCTCCCCCCATTTTCTCTCCTCTCCATAAACTTCCTCGCCCTCCCTCTCCTGCAGGTCTCTTGCTAACCCCCTTTTTTCATTCTGTCCCTGTTATTTTCTCCCACCCTCTTCACTTTCCTTCTTTTCACCCTCTCTCCCCGTCTTTCCTTCTGCTCTCCTCCCCGCACTCCCTCTCTCTTCTGTCTATTCCTTCTTCTCTCTTTGTTGCCATCCTCTCTGTTTCTCATGGCCTTATGCAGGAGAGACTTCAAACCAAGGGGCCCCCTTGCTGTATGAAGTCCCACTGCTAACTTGCACTCACTCATAAGAGCTGATCCCCCTCCTGACTTCCCACAGGCTTCTGTCTCCCCCATGCATGAGCTCTCTGTATGTGGAGAAAGCCCTTCTTTTTAGATCAGTCAGCTAGGATCATTCTGAGTTGTTTGGGAGGCTGGAGGTGATGGAGGAGGGATCATCAGAGGACTTTCTTGGGAGGGACTTCAAAACCTAGGGCTGCCCTGCTCCATCTCCCTTTTTCCTTCCGCTTCTGGCTGATTTCCACCACTTACATTCTCTCACTGTGTGGCCGATATAAGGTATGCCTCTGTCACTCTCCCCATGGGTACTCAGAGTTGTGAGGCACCTCACCACCACCTGCCCTTAGCGTGAAGCCGTGTTGTCTGATAACTCAGCTCTTTGGCCAGAGGCTGTTGGTTTCATAGACAAGCACCAACTTCTAGGTCTCTAGCATCCCCCTCTGCAGTATCTAGCTCCTGTCATTGGGCGCACTCAGAAACCGCCAGGTGAGCTGTCCCTAACGGAACAGAGTACACACAGCTTGGCTGGAACCACTCAGGATCAAATTCTTTAGGACAGCTCAGCCCTGTGACACATACCTTTATTTACAAAGATTTAGATGAAGATCAAGTGAGCAAGGATAATAAAAAAGGCTTACGTATAAAACATGCTTCTTAGAGTCTAAGCTTAACTCGAACTGGCTAAAATCCTGGTCTAAGCAATTTCTCACCTAAGGCCTCCCAGCATCACTAGCCCAATATGGCCAGGATCCAAATTTTATGGATACAAGAAGTGCCGTCCTTTTAGCTCCTCAGTGAAGGATAAGAAAGGCATCCTTTCCCCCTCCTCTTTTAGGCTAGCCAATCTTTGAAGTGCACTCCCATACAAGCCTCTTCTCCCCTGTTGCTAGTTTGTGTTCCCCCTGTTTGTTTCATATCTCCACCATCAACGTGTCTTTCCTGTTGATTTTACATGCGAATATGGTTTCCATTGTTTTGGCTTAATTTACATGTGACAGAGAGATGTACATATTCTCTCCTGTCTGGAAAAAAAACTATTTGTCAACTCGTCCTGGTTACATAATTTAACACCTACTTTAGTAGGTACACGTAACTCCTTGCACAGTGACCGTACATACATCTCTTAATGCTTATGATGACCACTATGATATAAGCTTTCACTGGATACCTCACACAACAGTCTTTATCGATAAATACCATGGCAGCAATTTTGTTCCATGTAGTGAGTGTGTCAGACATGATAGGAGTTGCTGAACACTGAACCCTTTGCCAGTTGGCATTGAGGGGTTGTGAGGGCACAGCCTGTGAGAGTGAACAACAGATTACTGTGCACTGTAAGACAGCTTCCACACTGTAATGCTGCCCTGCAGCTTAGGGTAGGAAGGGAAGAAGGGAATTGGAGAAGAGCACTGGAACTAACAGAAGTGCCAGGGTGGATTTAGGTCTA